ATAGGAAGTCTGTCTGAAGACTACAATTGTGGTAGAGGACTGAGATGGAAAGGAAAGACAGACATTGCCTCCAGGTGATCCTCTGGTGACAGAGGCCCTCAAGGAAAGCAGATGGCTAGCTAGGAGGGGCAGGAGAGTAGGACTGCCAGCCTGTTGCCTCAGGTTCTTTGCACATGCACTGAGCTGAACAGGTGTGAGGTTGTGCTTCAGAACTTTGGAATCCTGGGTAGCAGTTCAAGGTCACCCCACAGTAGCTTAGCTCCCAGCAAATGGATGCTGAATGAGCTGAGGGCTCCAGCTATTGCATGCCATGTGGAAAAGAACGGCTTTTGAATGAGTCAGAATCAGGTACTGGTTTGTGGCTTTAGAATAGGTTACATATCTCTCTGAATTGTGGTTACAAAGTCCAGAAAACAACATATTTCCTTGTTGTGAGTATTGATGTTATAGTTTGTAAAGTCTAATCAGAAGGCCCAACCGCAATTGATAGTCTGCCAATCTTATTTTTCTTATTTCCTTTAGAGTCATTCTTTTGTCAAAATGACAAAAGCTTCCTTCAACAGCTTTTCAACTGTTGCTTCTCTATCTTCTGCTTGCATGCCTCCAGGACAGGGTGACTGCCACCTTGTCTGTCAACTCTGTGGAGTTGGCACTTACTGGTCTTGGAAGTATTTTACTGTTCTAGAAGGAGCCTACATTGGGGAATGGTAGAATAGAGGAATAGAGCTTCAGAGGACTAAAAAGAGAAAGATTTATTTGTCAGACACCCACAACCTTCTCAGATGAGCAAGATGGAAGAAACTGCCCACTTTAACTCCTGTGCATTTCCCAGCCACCCTGCCCCTAGTCCCCTCCCCAGCCCTTAGTGATAGCACATTGCAGGGAGGTGTGACCATCTTCTCATGGACTTCTCCTTGGAGCTTTGAAAGCATTATGTGGTCCATTTGTAGCAATAACATGAAATTTATCTTTCTGGGAAATGTGGGACTTACTTGAGGACAACAGTTAACAGTGACAATCTTTATGTCCAATATTTTCCCAGAGAGAGTGGGTGGAAAAATAAGATCTCTAAATGTTCAGGCCCATAACGCAGTTTAAGACAATGTAGTGAGCTATTTCTGTGGGAATGAGTGAATGACTGAGTAGACACGCTGCAGGAAGAGGCACGAGGCTGGACTAGCCCCCCAAGTGTCCTTCCACTTTCCTTGAGACACAGTTGTCACCCAGCCTGGAGTCATCCTTCCCAACACACACATAGTGGGGCCACAGTCAGCCAGGCGTGGAGCTAGAGCAGGGCATGTTATCAGGCTAATTACAGAGTGAAACTCTGCTCTAGCAGCCACTACACCTAGGTATGCTCTAGCCATGACAAAGGTATGTACAACTACAAACTTCTCTCATCTGCCTCTGAGGCATTCTGATACACATCTCTGCTCTTCAATATCTCTTATTCAATTCTTGTTGTTAGATTGACACTGCTGAGTAATGATCTGTTGAAGGGCTGACCCAGTGAACAACCAAGTGGAAGGAAACAGATCTGTAAGATCTGGGTCTTCCTAAAATCTGCTGCCTCCAGCATAGTGACATACTAGATTGTTCTCTGGAAGACTGAACTACTGACTCAGAACTAACAGGGATACTTAACTGTATCTCTCCAATAAAATTACCCCAGAACTGAAAAACATCTGTGGAAATACTTGGTTTCTATAGGCCAGGGCTAATGGAAGGAATGAACAGAGGTGGCTTCTTCTGGTTGATACAAGTGAAACTTTTTCTTCACAGGAGGTGGGAGATGGATGGTGAGGTGTAGGGGCCTGGGATTGTGGGTATATCTGGGAGTGGAATGTGTGGATGTGAGGGTGGGGCTAGAGGTAAGAGGATGGTGTTGTCTTGTTAAAGGGAGTGTGTCACTGTGGAGGCAGGCTTTGAGGTCTCAAATATGCTCAAGCCATGCCCAGACCACTTTCGGTTACTTGCAAGTAAAGAAATAGGACTCTCATCTACTTTTCCAGTGCCATGTCTGCCTGCATGCCACCATGTCACACCATGATGATAATGAACTAAACCTCTGAAAATGCAAGCCACATCAATTAAATGTCTTCCCATTATAAGAGTTGCTGTGGTCCTGATGTCTCTTCACAGCAATAGAAACTCTAACTAAGACAGATGGATTGTGGATGTGAGGTGTGACGTGTAAGTCTCTGGTGAAGGGGTATATGCGGTAAAGGGGTATTGTGGTGAAGGGAATTATGGGTATGTAGGGTGTGGGAGTTTCAGGAAGCTTGAGTGTGGATTAGGAGTACAGGGTGTGGGATGCCATAGGGATAGGGGTCAGAAAGTTGTTGGGGGTTGACTGTTGAGCAGGTGTGATTGGGATGGAGGGATAGGGAGTATAAGAATGTGGTATATGTGAGTAGAGGATTTAGGGATTGTGAGTGGGGTAAACAAATGACAAGATAGGGATTGGGGAAATGGGGTACTAAGGGATGTGGGGATGTTGGGTGTGGAATTACAGGGTGTTGGGGTGGGGCTTGTGTGGGTGTGGGAATTTTAGGACTGCAAGGTGAGGGCAGAGGAGTGGTAGGATGGGGTGAGCATTTGGTTCAGAGGTATAGGATGTGGGGTGTGTATGTGTGGTATGGGTGTGAGGCATGTGTATGAGGAGGTTTGGAGACTGTGGGGCAGAGGTAGGGGAATGCCAGGAGAAATGCTGGAAAAATGGGGAGGGATGAAGGAACGGGATGGGGTATTAGATGTTAGATACCGAGGGTGCAGTATGGATTTTATGGGTGATAGATATATGGGAGAAGGGGTTCAGGTCCTTCTCTTCTTCCCTCCCATCATATTCATTCCTCTCTTCCTTCCCCCTCCTTCTTTTCCTCCTCCCCATCTTCTGGGGACAGGTTTTCATCAGCCAGTCCAGGCTGTCCTGGTGAGCACCAGCAGGTCCAGCTTGCAAGTTGTCTTCTTGTTTCTCCTGTGAACTGTTAGCTAACTGGCTGTGCTGTGCTCTCCCAAAGGCATTTGATGTTCTCCACCAGCCTTGCTGTATCACTTACATGAATCCACTCGACGTTTGCCAGATGAACACAGCATCTACAGACAAGTGCATGTCAATCACTGTGATGGGGGATCTTGTGATGCTTTTCCCTGTTTATCATCCACGAAGGAAATGAGAGAAGACATAGCATCTAGTACAACAGATCTAGCATCATCACAGGTATGCTGGTGGTAGGCTGTTAACCATTTCCTCCAATCACCATCCCATTGTGCCATGCCTACATTTAGGGAAACAGGCAATACATGTTAGAATACTGGATAAGCTTTGAGAGTGTCAGACTGGAGGCAGAAGGTGTTTGTGACTGTGTAAGTGAAACACAACACTCCAAAATGACTTGCTCTTTGGGGAAAGGTAGACACTGAGGGAATGAGACCTGGGAGTGGCAGATTATGAACTGTAGCAGGTGGTTCCCAGACAGAGGTATGAGTCTTAGCCCTCAGTCACCTGAAGAAAGACTCAAGGAGTTTGGATAGACAAGCTTTTTTCTAGGTGACATTATCTTTTTTTGGAGCCTCTGACATTCTCCCTGGAACACACATGGTTCATAAGCTTCTGTGAGGTTTTGTTGGCTGCTTAGTTGTATTTTTATTTCACTACTGGGGATTGGGCCTTAAAGGCTGGCACAAGCCAGGGAATCAAACTATCACTGAGGCACTCTCCAAGCTCTTCCGTATGCTTTGTTTTACCATCTTAAATGTGGTAACAGAGACTAGCCGCCTTGCCCAGCGCTTCAACCCTTCTTTGACTTTCCATGACTCTCAAGGAGTTAGCGCTACCTAAAGCCAGCAGCAAGGCCCCCAAGACTTCATCTCCCCCATCCTGCAACCTCTTTCTCGATAATTTACATATCTTCAGCCTCCTTCTCTCTGTCTCCTTGCTAATAATCCTTCCTTCTCTTCTGTAAGGTAACACTAATGCATAGCTCTGGCTGGTGTAGGAGTAATTGGTGAGCTTAAAATAAATTCCGTGGGAATAAATAAATAAGTAAATAAATAAATTCTGTGTTCAAATAAATGGTGCCCAGGTCAGTGAAATCATTCTCTCAAGGTGGGGAAGTCGGATATGGTTAACACATGCTCCAAAGTGCCTTAAGTAATCTGTTATGGGTTGCCACAACCATGGAAGGTGGAAGGGGCAACACTCTTTGGGGTTCAGTACCACCTCACACTGTACTCCTCAACTTGTCACCCCATTCACTCTGAGTGGGGGAGAGGCCCCAAGCTGTGCTCTCTGTATCAGCCAGAGAAGAGAAACAGCCCATGGATTGGACATTTTAGGGGATGAGAAACAGGAGGAGCAGGCTCCATTCCTGGGAGCTTTGGAGTCTCCCTGGGAGGCAACAGAGGGACCTGGGAATGACACAAGGGGCAGAGCAGGCTCTTTCTAAACTCATTTCAAATGCACTCAAGTGTTCAGGGCTTTTTTATAAAAGCTTCACTTCTCATTAAAATGACTTGTTGAAAATGACAATCTTTCATCAAGCACATCTAAAAACCTCCCTTTCTTCATTGTGAATGCTATAGAAATATCACTTTCCTAGGCTGTGGGCTGCACACGTGGGACAAGCTTTAATATAAAAAAAAGTAATACATATTACCTTCAAAGTTCTTTAATTGCCTAAATTAATAATTAATTTGCCCCCCACTTCTGTAAGAGCCAAATGAATTTGAATCTCTCTAAAGGATTGAATCTCCAGCTATCTCATTCTGACTACATTTTGCATTCTTTATAGAAACTAAAATGATCTAGAAGGTCTCCTCTCTGTTCCACCCCATCACCTCAACGGTATCCGTTCTTCTAACCTATGGCTAGGAGGGTTGGATTAGAACCAGAAAACGGAAATAAAGTGTCCCCACCTTCTCCACACCAAGACTGGCCATGTTCCCAGTAGTCTACTAGTCCTAGTAGACTAGACATTGGTTTTAATGGTAAACTTCATTCCAATTGGCCTCAGGGAAATTTCAAACAAGCCAGAACATGAACACTTCACATTTTACTGTTAAATAAACCACTTAGCCTCCACCATTTTGCAGACTCTTTTTCAAAATATCTGGCCTTTTTTTTTTTATGTGCATGTCTTCCATAGTAGGACCTTAGCTACAACACCATAAGATCTCTCAAAGCCACCACATTTACAACAGCAATAACAACAAAGCATTGTATTTAGTTTCCTTAGGGGAAGGCACAGGACACTTTTTTGTTTCTTTGTTTTTGTTTTTCAAGACAGGGTTTCTCTGTGTAGCAGACCTGGCTGTCCTGGAACTCTGAAGACCAGGCTGGCCTGGAACTCACAGAGATCCACCTCCCGAATGCTGGGACTAAATGTGTGGGCCACCACTACCTGGCATGAAGGACACTTTTTAAAAAGATGTATAAGATATTCAGGTTAAAGGAAAGTGTACAGTTACTGACTTTGAGCTGCATGTCCATTGCAGAACACAAAGATGGAATTTTTGCTAAAATTAGTAGTTAGGTGAAACAATTTGACTTGTGCCACTTAATGGGCAAATTCATTGCTGTACTACTGAGATGACTGGTATGATGGATAGCCGCTTTATTCTTTTGATAACACCACAGTCAAGAGATCTTGCAGATGTTATTATGTGCAGAATGCCCTGGGCCTTTGAGAAGCATTATTTAAAATTATTATAAGCTCCAAAAGATTTAACAGTACAAAAAGGCAACAGCAATTAAATGCTTATCTGTAGGCTCTAGGGAAGATTTCTCTTTGGAAATAATCAAGTAATAGTGCCCCAAAGATGTTTAGTGATATTATTTCTTATAGGTATGTAGCTTAAGTATGTTTCTTATCTTAAACTTGATGTTAGAGTAACAATGGCAAAATGGGATTGGAAGAGGTGTGGTTTCATGGAATTACAGCACTGATTTCTCAATGTGAGTTTTGAACTGGTGTGAAAAGGTAACTGACACAGGTCACACACAGCTGAGGTATTTCCTGGGTGACAATCTTGACCACTGAGTAGCAGGCAGAAATGCCAAAACATTTGCATTCAGATCCATGGTTTGAATGTCTCAGCTTTTTCACTGTCGTACCCTGAGTGGCTATTGTAGGAACAAAAGTGTGAAGGAGTAAGGGATGTGAGTACTGTGTGGAATGTTCCCCTGCAGAATGGCCTCGCCATTTGTATGAACAGGAAATCAACCTTTGGACTGTTAGTTTTGCTGGAGACAGAGTCTTGCTGTATAGTCCAAGTTGGCTTTGAACTCAGGATCCTCTGGCCTCGGACCTTTTCCACTAGGCCCAGAAACTTAAATTTTTGGACATTTCATACTTAAATTATTATCCCAGAGTAGCTTAAGCTACCCTGAATATAATAATAATAATAATAATAATAATAATAATAATAATAACAATAACAAAGATTTGTTTTGTTTTTTTCACTATGTGGATGTGTGCAGATGAGCGTAAGTAACCCAGGAGGTCAGGAGAGGGCATCAGATACCATGAAACTAGAATTACAGGTGGCTGTCAACCATCTGACATACATGCTAGGATCTGAACTCAGGTCAGGCTCTTAACCACTGAGCCATCTCACGTGAAACTAGAATTACAGGTGGCTGTCAACCACTTTCCATATATGCTAGGATCTGAACTCAGGTCAGGCTCTTAACCACTGAGCCATCTCACCAACCCCTAATTAATAATCTTATTGCAACAGCATTGAGAGAAGGTTGATACGGCCCCAAAGACTCTTCATACAGTAATCTGTGCTTTTCTTAGTGTGAGAAAGTAAGCCAGCAGTGTCTGCAGAAGCTCTTATTACAGCCTGGATACGAAGTATTCTTTCTGGGCTCAGCTTTTGGTCTCCTGATGGTAGTGGTTTTGGGAGGTTGTAGAACTCTAGAAGGCAGACTTAAACTGGAGGAAGTTGGTGCCTGGAAGTAGGATTTTGGTGATATCCCTTCCGTGCCTCTGCTGTCTCTGCTTCCTGTGTCCCAAGCAATGATTATGGCCTCCTCCACATACTCTTCTCACTCACTCCCACCGCTGTGACGCTATTCCCATACTAGGAGCTGAGCAATGAGGAACAAGAGAAAGCAAACAAAACTTTCTTCCTTTAAGTTGTTTATGTCAGGAATCCTGTCACAAAAGTAACAAATCCAAGCATGGAAGAAGAGGGTTCAATACAGGCTTTCTCATTTACTATATGATCTTGGCCAAATTACTTGTGTTCTTTGAGGCCCTCTTGCCTCACTATAGATGAAAGCTAGGGACACAAGTGGCATTCAGAGACCACGTCCATAATGTACTCAGAAGTGCATCTTGAATATACACAAAGAAGGCTGCTTTTATCATTATATTTCAGAAAGATGAGTACAAAGAGTTTGTGATGAGTTGTAGGGAAAAGAGGTAAATTAAAAGTTTCCTGCCTCTAGTGGTCTGTCATTATTCCTCATATCTTAACCTCAGGACCAAAGCAAAAGTGTGAGGTCCCCCCAACCCCAGTCTTAGTTAGGATTCAATTGCTGTGATAAACACCATGGCCTAAAGCAACTTGGGGTGGGAAGGGAAGAAATACTTCAGCTTATGGCTTATAGGAAAGGGAAGGAATGCAAGGGAGGAACCTGGAGGCAGGAGCTGATGCAGACATCATAGAGGAACACAGTTTATTGTCGTGCCCCTCACAGCCTGCTCATCGTGCTTTTTTATACAACTCAGAACCAGAACTACCTGCCCAGGAGTGGTGCTGGTCAAAGGGAGCTGGGCCTTCTCACATCAATGGTTAATCAAGAAAATGCCCCACAGGCCAACCAGATGGAGTAATTTTCTCAACAGAGGTTCTGTCTTCCCAGGTAACTCTACCTTATGTCAAGTTGACAAGAAAAAAACAAAACAAAACAAAAAACAAAAAAAAGAAGAAGAAGAAGAAGAAGAAGAAGAAGCACTCTCCTGGCTTGTGGTATGAGTGTGCACACACATACACAAAAGTGTGGTCCAGGAGGATGCGGCCTGCCTGTGCGGTGTCTAAAGGCTACTGCTGGTGTAAGGATCTCTGCTCAGCAGCAACTGGGCAGAAAGGCCAAGAAAGAAGACAGTCTTTCCTGTGCATTTAGATGAGCTGGGTGGTGAGAAGTTGGCATACTGATAGTTATCACAGCACGATCCTGCAGGCCATTGCTACTAAGCTTCATTTTCCCAGAGCCCTTGGAGATGGGGCAGACAGATGCTTTCTTCCTTGTCAGCTGCCTTGACACTTTCATGAAGCAAGAAGTTGAGATCCACACTTGGCAGGGAACCTTACAGATCTTCTCACTTCTAGTTACTTCCAAGTGTTTCTGGGGAGGGGTGCAAATGAGGGGTGGGTTGATTGTTTTTATTGGGGTTTCTGTCTGGACCTGCAGCTGGGCTGTTTCTCCAGAGCCCACAAGTTCACATCCTATTTCAAGGCTGCAAGGTAATTTTCAGAGACAAGTAACCTTGTGTACCTTTGTGATAGTAGGAAGTGGTGGAAATCAGACTGGGATTGCCTGCTAAGTGGTGTTGGGAATGAGATAGGCATGCCTTGTCTTGTGTGCTAAACCCTGTCACTCTATGGGCATTAATGATGTGATGGGTTTGAACTGGTAGCATCTGTTTGATGGGAGGGAAAACCACATGGTACTTTATTGGTCACATGGGGGTGATCTGAAAGGTGGGATAGCCAGGTATGACATTTCCCACACACTCAGCCATTGTGTGAGATCTCCTTCCTGCTGTGAGGAGGCCACTGCTGAGTTTCCATAGAGCCACTGGGAAACTAACTGACTTAACACAAGTGCTATTTATAAACAGTAAAGAATCTGTACAATAAATCTGCATTTACGAGACCTTAAACTTTAAAAGGGCTTTATACTTTTACTGTTACTTTATGCTCAAATAGACACGTGAGGCCTCCAAGTGGATGTTACTGTTAGACAGCAAGAAGTTTTTGTGTGAGAGACTAAGCCTGCAGTTGGGCCATGCAACTCAGGATCAATGACTGTATCATGCTTCCTTTACCACATCTCTGAAGGTTAGGGCATGGGTGATCAACATTTCAGGCAGATAATGTACATTTCAGGGTGGTTACCACCATCCTTGGCCTCTGCACACTAGATGCCAAGGGCACTCCTCCCTCCAACAGCCTTTGAGACATCCCCTAAGTGAGTGAGCTTCTTGTCTGGGTAATGCCATATTAATGCACGGGGGGGGGGGGGGGGGGGGGGGGGGGTTTTTTTTAGTTACTGGGGACAGAGAGTTTTCTTTATCAAAGATTGCCAAGTAGTCATTTTTACTAAGCATTTTTCACAGTGACTGCTGAGATTATGGAGGATCTGCTGCATCCTTGGCACCTGCTAGTCATTTCTTCCACAGATGTAGGTATATTTTTTAAAAAATACATTCTAAGCATGTGGAAGTGGCATAGCAATACAGTGGCAGGCCTATGTTTCTAACACAGCAGTAAAAATAAAATAAAGGTAGAAAAGTGACAATCCAGAGACACTATGCTAGTCTATTGAGATAAATGGGCACATGGACCTGGGCCTGTCAGGTGTCTCAAGATCTCAACCACTTTATTTATCTTTTATTTTTTACTTTTGGGAGGGTTGAGACAGGACTTCTCTATGTAGTCATGGATGTCCCAGAACTTGCTATGTGGACCAGGCTGGTCTTGAACTCACAAAGATCCATCTGCCTCAGCCTCCTAAGTGCCGGGATTAAAGGTGTGAGCCACCACACCTGGCCAGGCTCTCTACAGTTTAATAGCACATGTTCAAGGGTATAAATTCAGGATGTAGACTGCCTGGGTCCAAATCCTGCAGACTGGTCTTTACTTTTATGTGACTATTTCATTTGCTATCATACTTATTATAGTATTTAAGTTTGATTATCGACTTGATGGGATTTAGAATCACTATCGAAACAGATGCACATGAGAGGTCATCTAGAGTAGATTAACTCAAGTGGGAAGACTCACTTGAGTGAGGCAGCACCGTACCCTGGACTGGAGTCCCAGATTTAACACAAAGAAGAAATCCAGCTTTGCAGCAGTGACCACCTCACTCTGCTTCCTGACTGCACATACAATGTGATCAGCCATCTCAAGCTCTTTCTATTGTGACTTCCCGCCATGGTGGATAGAACCTTCAGACTGGGAACCCAAACAAACCTTCCCTTCCTTAAGTTGCTTTTGTCAGGAATTTTGCAGCAATTAGATAAGCAATTAATACACCCATGAAAAAACCATGCGTCTCTTTATTCCCGACTCTTTTAGTCGCTGGTGGAGTCTGGTGGAGCAAAGACTGGTTTCTGCCTCTGTAGAGGCTAGAGTGCAGCTGCCTGGAGACTGCACCATGAACACTGCTCTGAAGTGGATCGGTCTGGTGCCCACATCCTTCCTAGCTCCAGTGAGCAATCTCCAGCTTCTGTGCTTTTCTGCTTCTGTTAGACACACTGTATCCCTCTGCTGACTTGCCTTTGGGCTTCTCAATGCCAAAAACAATGCTCTTGGGGATTATGCTCCTTGCCCTGGCAATGTTAGTTATAAAAATCTCAGGCACTTTATTATAAATTAAGACAATCCAAATTAGAATATGTTCCAGATCAAAGAGGCTGAGTTCTAAGACAGGGGCAGATAAAAACCACTTAAATGATCCTCCTGTGGAGCTGAAGAGCCTCTGGGAGAGTGAGAACTTAGGTGACGCAGAAATCAAAGTGAATGTATCTCTTTTTATCCTTTCTTGATATTTACTTAAAACACATGGAACCTAAAGTGGCTCACTAGGATGTCCCACCTGCCTGGATCCACTTTGACTGTTCCTAGACCCTTTTACCCACATTCCATCTTCTGGTCATATCTCTGTCTACAGTGTCCTGTCCTGAAGAGCGTGCATGGCCCTGTGATGTTCACAGGCTCTGGGTAATTGGAGTATAAGGCACACACCTCTCTGCCCAGCAAATAAACATCAACAAATCTCTGTTGAAGCCCAATCTGGATCTGCTGGGCATGTCTACAGTCCCAGAACTCTGGAGGCTAAAGAAGGCTGATGGCGAGTTGGAGGTCAGCCTGAGTTATGGAGGGAGAGCTTGTCTCTGGAAATAAAGGGAGATAGCTTGTCAGAATCTTCTATAAACCGAGAAAAATAAGTCCCCCCCCCACTCCAGTGCATATGTTTGGTGTCAGAGGAGAGCTGGCAGAAGGGTTGGAGGACACCCTTGAGGACCTCTCAGAATGCTACCAAGTGTGTATGAGGATGGACATTAACATGGCTCTCAAAAGTCAGGTGATAGTTGCCACCACCACCATTCTCTTCCTGCTCATTTATTGACTTGAGGGTGCTAAGTCCAGTTACCTGCAATCCCCCACTGTGAAGCAGGCATTGGTGACACCAATGTGGGTCATAGCAGTGACTGGCACTTCTGGTCCCAGAGAAGTGGGAAGGAACTGAGATTTGGCCAGTGGTGATGGTGATAAAACTAGTTACCCACAAACAATCCCAGCTGGGCCTGGTTTGGGTCACACATTGTGACTCTTTGACTAAAATTGTCAACTTAGAAGCTGGAGGTCTTCATATAATATCCAGTTTCCTGTGACTTAAGGAAGATGGTGACCCCAGGTCTGACTTGTCTTCCAACTCAGAGTACAGTTGCTTCCTCAAGTCCAATCACATGACTGTCTGTTGGCTAGAGTCTCCATAATGCACCATCATCTTACACCTCACAATCTGTGCATGCTGGCTTCCTTCTGGACGTTATTGTGGAGGCAAAGCAGAATTGCAACAGTGCAGGTTTAGCAGCCAGGCTGCCTTGGTTCTAACCTCTGCTGTCTGACTTACGCTAATGACTTAGCCTTTCTGTTTCATAGACTTCTCATCTGCAAGGTATCCACCCTTGAAGTTGCTGAGGACAATAAACGGATTACTATGTTCAAACTACTTTGGATTGGGATTGCTACATATTGCCTTTAAATATCACCATGCCATTACTACGGTCATCTCTCTGCCCATACTGTGGTGGCAATTTGGCAGCCATTTGTCATCAGTGTCTCTCCTTGAATTCTATAGCATCCACTAGCAATAATGGTACTTACTTAGCTATATCCAAGGTCCTGTGGAGAAAATGACTATCTTTCCAAGCTCATAAATGGATGCCTCATGTGTACGTGCCTCAGGAACTTTAAAGCATGGAACTGACCTATAGAAGCTGAGGAAATGTCCACAATGAGGGTTCAGGTAAAAACAGCATAAAAGCCAAAACATGGCTTCTACTGGCTTTCATTCAGAAAGATCAAAGTAAAATATACTTCTGTGAGTAGACAGATCACCTTCCTCACAATTTTGTCACCTCCTCTAGTCTTAGGATGAAAATATAACATCAGCTTTAGAAAGAACAAAAAAGAGCAACATTTAGTGACAGTTTGTTCGTTGCTATTCCAGCAACGTTCCCCTCCTCATGCATTCGCCTCATTTCATCTACCCAGTCAGTATATCTTCACCAGGCAATGATGCAAAACTGTCTGTGCACTCCAATTTTATTGTAGTCAGGCACCATTTATGGGTTTGACTTTCAACTGACCATGGCAGGAAGTCTAGAGGCAATTATAACCAACACCTGCTGTATCTGTGCTTTGGATGGGCAGTGACGCATCCCCAGCCTCTGGTATATAAGTGAGTAGCCCATTGGCTCAGAGCAATAAAGCACCCTCTACTCCCTGATATCTGGAAGGAGTCAAGGCACTTTTCTATGAGAACCTCAAATTACTGCCATTTCTTTTAGTGAGGGCATCAAATTACTAACTGGGAAGAAAAATGCAGATGGTGGTCATTGGTGATCTTAAACAAACAAGTTTAAAGCACTGTCACAGAGCACATTGTGTAAGTTAAAAGTGCCAGAGCAGAGAAAACTATTGATCTGAAATCACATCTAGTCAGAGCAGAGGTAGTGTTTGTTGCAATGGGCACCTAAGACAAAGGCCGGGAACATCAGGAGGATTTTATAGCAGTGATGTCTACCTGGAATGTGTCTTGCTGTAGTTTCAAATGATTTTGCTGTGTTTTTCAAATCTACACTTTCACTTGTTACTCTAACGGTTTGTCAGACTACCAAGGGACTCTGGGAGGGAATGGTTGGGCTGAGCTCAGGAAATCATGTGTAAAGTGTAAGAACATACACCTGGATGACCCCCCCCCCAATAACAGGTGAGGCATGCACAGGAAAACGTGCTAAGTCATCACCATGTCATCCGCCACGCAATACAGCCTGCATGAGGACTCTGCAAATGTGCAAAACCCCAGTGCGCATGCACAGCCTTCCCTTTAAAAGGTCCAGCCTTTCCCCCTTCTTCCTCTTTGGCTCCTCTTAGGTTGGCTGACAACCCAACTCCATCATCTCCCCCTCTTCTGGTAAATTAACTCCACGTGTGTTGTTCATCCGTAGTTTCCTTTCTTTACAACTGCAGCTGCAGCAAAAAAGAATAACATTTGGTGCCTAGGATGTGGAAAGGCTCTCTTCCTGTCCTTTCTCCCGAGGCCTGCTGGCAGGCACATGGTAAGGCAAGGGGACCTTTACACTAGGATCAACAACCCACACTCCATCTCACCAGTTTGCTGGGACTCTGCATCCAACACCGGACCCTATTTGATAAGGCTACCCCCTTTCAGTCGGCATAAACGTCTCCCTGAACCCAAAGGATTGACTGTTGAGCGTCTGGCATCCTTCTGGTGTTCATGGAGGTGGGTGAGCACCCAGCCACGATCTTCACGGTCACGATTGACCCCCTTTGCCTACAATCGCTCCTGGCTTATTTCCTATAGGTGGCCCTATCAGTACCCTTGGTGGCTAGCCGCTGTGGGACTGTTGGGTTCTTCTGTTTTCTTTTCGTTCTTCGGGACAGCCGAGTCCCTATTCAGACCTGGGGTCTAACAGGCTAAGCCCCTTTGGTGCCCCCACGAGCTGACGAGCATTCGGAGAGGGGCTTTTACTGGTTTTTAACTTCTTCATCCATGGGAAATAAACCAAAAAAAGGAGATAAAGCCCATCCACTCTACTGGGATGTCTTTTAGAGAACTTAAAACCCTTAGACCTCATGCCATTCGTTAAGACATCCAGACTCACGTATCTCAGTATGAAAAAAAAGGCCTAGGTACACCTTAGAGAACCAGTCTCACTGGTCCCCAAATGGAGCTCTAGACTCTGAAGTT